TTTGTAAAGTCTCACACAAACTTTAATTCCACACCCTAGAAGTTTTAAAAGTTAAAATTCTACCCTTATACTATTATAAGATTAATGGTTAATTATTATATATATGTATAAGAACAAGTCATTTTACTGTTAGTAGGCCTCATTCACGAAGCCAGTCTATAAGTGGGTATAAGGTTGATGCCTATAAAATGGCAGCTTAATGGTTGTCCACTCTCACCCACCGCTTCCTTGACTAGTGGAGGGTCGTTAGCCGAACGGGTAGGATAATGACTTTAAAATTCTCATTAAAAGTATAATGAATATTATAAAGTAACTAAATATTTTTTTATTTAATTCCCAATCTTAGTTACATTAGGAAAAATGTGAATTTGGTGCTAGCCCATGGAATTCACACTTTGTACCTTACCAAGTCGTTGGTGGAGCGTGTGTCGTTAACCGACACACTAACTTGGACTAGTAAGGACCACGAAGGGTGACTTAATATTTGTCATAGATCAATGGAGCGTGTGTGTTAACCGGCACATTGATTAGGTGATAATATTAAGGGTTACCAAGTGAATTGTATGGTTATTCACACCTTGTTTTGTGATCCTCGGCATCCCAGTCACAAAATTTGAGAGGGCACACTTGAGATTGAAACATGCCATTGAAAAAGTTCAATGAATCTCAAAAGATCTAAGAATTTCAAATCCAATTAAAATCTAATAAATTATTTCGTTTTTCATGGTGGAAATTGGTGAATCATCATTCGCCTACTTTCAAATATTTTATAGCTTGGATTATGCATCCCTCTTCCAAATTATAAAATATTGTGTTGGGTCCTAGCCTTAATATTTCATATTGGGTGTTATATTAAGACTTTGAATCAACTAACTTGATTTTCTCCATTATAGATGTCTGGTTCAGACAACTATGATCTTCCCAAATCTCTTGAAGATGGTGTCCCTCAACATCATGTTCACTTCCTCCACCTCATCCAATTATTCTCCCTCACCCACAAGTTCTTGAAAAGTTTAAAAGTCACTCAATCCCTATTGGCAAGCATAGTCTATGTGTTCTCACATCTTGGAGATAAAGTCACATATTGACAAGCCGGGAGAGTTGGGTGTCAAAGTCTCGTGAAAGTTAGATGTTCAGTCACTTCTTAGTAACATAGTGAGTCTCTTTGGGACTACTATGAGACAGACTATGACATGACCCTTAATGATGTTATCTATTTGCTTGGTTGTGGAATCAGCAATGATTTGGAACACAAGTAAAGCAAATTTGATTAAAGAAAACTTCCCAAGTCTTAAATGGACATTGACAATGGTAGCATTGGATATCTAGAAAAACGATTTCTCTTCCCAATGGAAAGGGATCGGCTATAGTCAACTCGGTTGAACCAAATAAAGAGAAAGGCTAAGTCTGAGATAGTCCATGTGCCATTCCAAAGGGTCCATGCGTTTTGTTGCCAAAGGAAGGGGCATGGTTGCGAAGCTACCATATTTACCTGAAAATCATAAGATTGATCAAGTCAAAAAAGTTTGACTCTACTTCAGTTAAAGTCCACTGACTAACTCTATTAATTTCTATTTTGGAGATTCTTATTACATAATGTGAATGGGTCACATGCTGATGTTTTTAAGAATCAAAGAAAAGATAGGAAGCTTAAAGTAAGTATATGTTGATTCTGATTGCGATGGGAGTTTCGATCGCATGGTTCGGTAATCAAAATTTTGAGCTGTTGCTTAAGAGTTATAGTATATTGCTTAGGAATAGATAACAACAAGTTTTATGTGGATTGTAAGGATAATTTTTCCGCAAGTTTTAAAATAAAAGAAAAAAAGGTTTTAATTTTATTTATTTAAAAATATCCTTACAATGGCATCTGTGGAAAATTGTTGCTTATATGTTTCCAGTAATAGCAATATTGGAAAGTGGATTTGATTCTTTCATTTGTGGTAGTGTCAGAATTTACCAAATGAAGAAAGTTTTTCATCACCCAAGTTTCAATTGGACAGAAACTTGGAATCATACAAGTTGTATTGTATGATGAATGAGAATTTTCATCTTTGAAAATTAAGACTAATTCTTTGATCACATGTATATGTGAGTCAATTGAAGGACTAAGGAATTAGGTACACTGGGTGTGCGCTGGTCAAGGTCCACCACAAAGATGATTTGTCATGATTTACTAAAGATTAGTAAATATGATTATACTTATAAGGTTAAGTATAATTCTGTAACATTGGAAAGGTTAGAATGTATGACAAAACAAATGAGAAAATCAAATTTAGGCAGAAAGATAAAAGTTTCTCAAATCTGAAAGGATGGGAGAGTACTTTAGTATCATATTTCATGATCATCTTAATGATTACGAAACCATATCACAAATTCATACTCTAAGGACGTCTTAGTGCATTGTTATGGCTAAGAAGAGAGGTCATGAATTGTTGGATTGGTTAAAATCAAGAAGAGAGTCATACTTCGTTCCAAAACAATTCTTAGAGTCATACTCCAAGATTGTAACCTTGAGTGACATAAAGGAAGATTATTAACACTAGTCAAATGTAAGAGTAAAATGTTTTCTACTCTTGTACATTTGAGATTGGTAAGTTGTGATGTCTTGGATGAGACAAAGACCAACTAAGACCAATTGTGTGAAGTGTTAGTCTTGATAAGAATCCGCACTATCCCTTGAATATTTGTTTTGTCAAGAATGGTTCTTCACTAGGGAAACATATGTCAAGGGGACAGTGGGAGCCTTAAAGATCCTGAAAAGTTTCAAGATTTAATCAAGAGTAAAACCTGTAATTTATCACTGCACACGACTTAAGGTTTGTAACCTATCGTGTTGACATAATTCTTATTTCTGTACCTACTTCAAATAAGTTGAATTTGCATGTGAGTTATCAAAGTTCAACTTGGAAGCATTGGTGGGCCTTGTGCTACCAACGTGACAACAAACTAAAATTGAACAAGTTTAATCCATGTAAGGCTGAATTTGTCACTAACCTTATCTTGTTATTATGGTTTTGACAAATTCACATGGATAGGAACTCATACACTATAAAATCTAAGTGTCATAAGGTTTCTCTCCTATTCATGAAAATGATGGTGAGGAAACGCTTTCACTAAGTAGATTTTACATAGATATAAATTGTGTTATTTGCATTTTCAAAAGTCGTTAGTGGAGCGCGTGTGGTTAACCTGCACACTAACATGGACTTGTGAGAAATGGCAAATGCCTAAGCAATTGAGTCTATGATTACAACATCCCTTTTCATAGTTCTGAAAACTATTTAGACACACATGTGAGCTATCTAAGAAAGGGTGTATGAATCTAAATTTCAGAAGTCCAGCAGATTTCTGGAAATATGTCAGAGCTAGTGGGAGCATAAGTGTTATGCTGATAATCATCATGTTAGTGGGAGCATGATTATTATGTTTAGTGTTTCAAGTTAGCAATGTTAATTATAGAAAACAAAGTTTCAATTCGTGAAGTTGTAGGGGTTGAAAAGTTGTTTTGCTATAATTAAGGGAGAGGAGATTATACTTCATTACAATTCTAAAGCTTAGATTGAGATTTTAATCATCTTTAGTCAAGAATATATATGAATTTTGTGTTGGAATGGTTCAACTTGAAGAAATTCTATATATATTGTGTTTTCAAAATTTGATTATGATTACGACATCCCTCTTCATAGTTAAAATTTTGAAAACATGGAAAATAAAAATATTATAGCAAAAGACTGGTCTAGTATCATGTCTTTATGTGAGACATCATGAATGGTGTCCCATATGCTTCGGATATAGGATGGATTGAATCTGCTATAATATTCATCTTTTCTAAATTTTCCAAATGCTTAAGGCATTGAGAAGGGAAAAGTCTAGAACTGGATATGACTAAAGTGATTAAGCAATTGTCGAGGATAATCTGAGGTTCGCCAAAGATTGGTTGCTCAAGGAAAGTTGGAAGTATGATGTAAGTTGTCGGAGAGGACCGCATTGACATGTTCTGAAAAGAAGTACTCTTGTTCGGAAGTGATAGTCAAAATGGGAGTATGGAAATGTCTCCATAGGTGGAAGTTATTCAATCTACGTAAGATTAGAAAAACCTTAATGCAAGAAGGATGTTCAAAGCAACGTACTTTGAATATGAGACTTCCGTTCCATAGAAGTTGACCTTCTTTGGAATACTCTGTAATGACTGGTGACAAGGTTTTGGTGACTTTGTGAATAATCATTACAAGAGGAACATTGCATAAAAGTTTAAAATCTAACTGATTTTTGGTAAATGACAGGAATCGGGGATTCTGACATTTACAATAAGGATTTGGGATTGTGAAATGAGTATCATTGGAATCATGTTCAATTGATCTACATCACAATGTAAGGATCATAGACAAACATAGTGTGCATACTTGGAGTATGGCATAACTATTGTTTAGAAAAACAAAGTGTACATGCTAGGAGCATGGGATAACTATTGTTTTTATTCAAGTCTTAAGTTGATTGTTTGAAACATTATACAATGAATAATGTGTAATCAATATGGTGATAAATAAAAGGTGGTTCTATTTATATTCAAAAGGGTTCTGAGACCATATTGGATTCGATTATTATTGTGTTTCACTTTGCATGTTTTGACTTCCAAAATAGCTAGGTTATTCTTTCCGAATGACTAAGTTATTTAAACACTCCACAGTCGTTCATATGTTGGAAGTAGGTATGAATCAAGACTGTCATGAATCGGGTTTGTAGATGGCTAAATGGGTTTAGTCATAGCAATGGTTGCTACAACATTCATGAGTGCTCATAAGTTATGAGTATTGGAATAAACCCACGCTCACTTGTATCACTTCATGGAATTTATCTCGAGTG